TCACCGTCAAAGTGAGTAGTCATTTCTAGCACTAATGACTATAGAACACAGATATACTACTTGTTGATCGTTACGCAAAAATAGATTGATCTCTAGCTAGTTTGCTTGACATAAACATGCTTATGAAAAGGAGAAGAAAATACGGTTGGAAGCAGAAAATCTTCTTCATATAGGAGAAAAAATAGATAAAATGGATTGAACTCCAAGCTGCTTGACCTTTAAGGGTGGTATTTACAGATGAGATTAAACACGCAGTGTGAAATGCATACATACTTGTGTTCTGGCCTTTGGCAAAGCTATTATTCATGGTTGAACAATTGGCGATAGATTCCAGTTCATACCTCATAGATGAAGGTTAGCTGCAAATATACAAAAACGGCACGAGGATGTCCATTCCTGCTCTGCTTTCACAAAAGAAGCTGTTGAATGTGTCATCTCTTCCATCGATGCTGGTATATATTTCCATCTATCTGCTCAGTTCTCAAACAAAATCAAAAGATCTGCAAAAAATTGTAATAATAATACTAGTACATAAACATCTCAACGGATTAGGTTTACCTTGAGGCCATACTCGAGAGTCGAGACAGTAAAGTTCCGCACGGGAGATTCTGAATCAGACTCCGACCTACCAACGGGAATCGAGATGCACCTTTAGGCCATGCTCGTGCCAGTACAACTCTCAATGGAGTTGCAATTTTAGAATTGGATTCCGGCATACCCGATGCGAATTGAGATTCACTCCCTCTGTTTCTTCGTTGAGATTTGGGGAAGACGGAAAGCTTGTTAAAGACTATTATGTTGCTTCCCCCAACATAATAGTCCAAGAGCTCGGTCGATTCAACATTAGGGTTTTGGATACTTCCGTTTTAGAAAGTTGTGAGATTGAAAGAAAGGGAGTGAGGGCGGCGGATGGTTCAGAGAATGAGGAGATTGTCATTGCTTGGGAGAGTTTCCTTGCATGGCGAGATTTTCAACCGGTATCCCTGAAGAAGGTAACCCCCTCTTTATCTTCAAAAAACGATTTCTTGTGATTAGTCTCTTTGCAAAAGAAACATCCAGATTCCTTAGCGTGTTTCTTAGTTTCCTTATGATGCTTTCTTTGAGGTCCTTAATTTACACCTTCCTTAATTTTCCTTTTCTTGCTGCCTTTAGAGATAGATGCCAAATGAGCACTTTCGGTCTTATTTTGCTTTATTCTCTCTTCCTGTTGAGCCCACTGAGAAATGAGCTCATTGAGAGACCATTTGTCCTTAATGCAGTTGTTATTGATTTTAAATTGATTAGATTGGGAAAGAAGAGAGATCAAAACTAAATACACAAGCAATTCCTTAGGTAAAATGAGCTTTCGTGCACTTATTTTTGAAGCAATAGGAGACATTTCCAAAATGTACTCTCTTATGTTTCCTTTGCCTTTATACTTCATCCAAACAAGTGTGCTCAAAAGAGTACTAGTTTCCGCCTTTTCGTTTTTAGCAAAACGCTTTTCAAGTTCGTCAAGAAACGATTTTGCACCATCCTCATCAGACATTGTGCCCCTGAATGATTCCGGAATCACACGTTTCATGACCATTAGACTCATGTGATTTAAGCGTTCCCACCTCTCCACCCCCCCCCCCCCTCTTTTCATCAAGGGTAGAAGTGTCCCTAAAGAGTGGCGGGTTTCTCAGTCTGGAGAGCAAAGTCTAGATCCATGCAACCGAGAACAATCATAACGTTCTCTTTTTATTCTTTAAAATTCGTGTTGTTGAGCACATGGATGCTATTAATATTAGCAGATATTGTAGCAGCAGAATTGTTGACTTAAAGAGAACAAAATATAATATAAATGGCATGCTCTGAAAACTAAAATTAACTTGATAATTAATTTTAAATTTAAATATTAGCAATCCCCTGTCACAAAATACCTATCGAAACATCCAATCCTATCTCTGGACACGAATTAAACTTGCAAGTGGTACTCTTGGTGTAATTATAAAACATTGATAATAAAATCATTCCAAATACTAAGTGCATGTTTGACATGCATAAGTCTCTGCCTTCTAACTTTTGTATTATTTAAAAAGTTTTTAAAAGTTTGTGCTTGTATGTTAGACATGCTAATTTTTAAGAGTTTTTTATTTTTTTTAGATGCTACAGTGAGTAGCATTTAAGATAAGTATGTAGTTTCTAGTATTAATTAGTCTCCACAGCTTGTATACCAAACAGAACTAAATTAAATAGTTAGCTTTTATCAAACATCTACTACGTTTTTCTTTTAAGACCTTTTCAGTCAATAAAAGATAATAGTTACTAAAAAGATCATAAAAGTACCTTTTCAGGTAGTTGTGCCAAACATACCCTAAACTTTTCTTTGGACAATTGTACTTAATCCCTTCATCAATCACAAATCCCTAAGTAAAACTACTCACAATTTATAATTGAATTAATAATAAAATTGAGAAAGAAAAAATTAGTTGTCATTAATTAATAATAAGAATAAAACTTACAAATAATCAAAGGATCTTGAATATTCAAAGTTGAAACTACTAAAAACTTCGCCTAGGCACTTTCGATAAACTCTCCCTCTCAAAACAGGGGTTTACAAGTTGTTTATATAGAAAGTGGAGGAATTCCGGCCAAAAAATGACCTCTGGAGCGCACGCATGGCGAGCGTGGATTCTGTGCATCAGGAGTAAAAACGCGGAAAAACTGCCGTGCAAGGCATGCGTGGCTTGCGCGCACGGCGTGCGCGGCCTCCAGTAGCCTCTCCGTGATTTCTTCTTCCGCGCACAGCGTGCATGCTTCGTGCGCACGGTGTGCGCCTCTGCCGTCCGAATTTGACTATGCTTCCTTCACTTATCTGTATTCCGTAGTTCCGTATTACTTAAAATAAAAATAATACGTAGTAAAACTTGCTGCCTTTAGCCCACAACACAAAGGGTACGAGTCAAAGCTTTGGATAAAAACCTGAACACGTCGATCATCTGCTACTCCACTCTTTCATACTAACTCTATATTGAATGGTTGGTATTCCAGTAAGGGATATATGCTTTTATTGTTTATATTTTGTTATGATGGAGCTATTTTAATGTATTTACTCATTATTGTAGATCAAATGAATATGAATTGTGACAAATCTAATGCAACTCAATCAAGTGAGACTCCAAAGCTATGAAAAAAGGAAGAGTGCTAGAGTGAAAGTAGAGAGAAAAGGAAGAGCCTCCAGCCGCACAGAAAGCATTCTTCAAGATTGAAATTTGCTTCAGAATCAGGTGTTAATGTTTATTAAACGTTTATTGATCGTCATAGGAGTTTCTAACATGAAGTATGAAGTAGGAATTGACTGGACATGTAGGTGGTTGTGTGTGCCTTCTAGTTTTGCTGCTTTTGTCTTGAAGAACTCCCAACCATTTGAACTTTGAAGACTATTGTTAACTTATGAGTCCTGTGTTATCATTTTAAATTCATGGTTCAAAAGCAGCAAACTAGTTTAACTCCATAATAGTTTTTCACGTGTGTTTAATATATGGTGTAATATATTCACTCAAAGTTTGTAACTCTGGTTTTCTCAACACGAGTGAAAACCTTGATCTCTTCAATTAGCAACAATCTGATTCCCTAAGTTACATATACCATGAGTGGAAATCTCGGATATAATTTAAGGAGCACAAAGAGTAAATTCTGAATGTATGCAACTACGTATAGAATGTATTCATGTTTACATTTGCTACGTTCTAAATTTAATACTTCATATAATGTTTCAGGTTTGAGGATTGAATTATTTGAATTTGCTGGCTTGTTCTTGCCTTGGAGATTTACAATGTCACCGTCCAGACCAATCAAGATCAACATTAGAGATTATAATTGTGGAATGTTAAAATTGGAATTATGGACTAAACTAATTGTACTTTTTATATAAGCTCTAGTTTTTTGTTTTTTAAGCAATCGACCTTTCATGTTTTAATCAATCGTTACTTTCCACAATCTTGAACTTGTAATTTCAAATTTGATGGTTATTTGAAATGAGATTATAGTTTGATGGATCGTACATTGGCGATGTATTATAAGAACCGAATAGTTAACACTTGTGAGAGACGAAGATAAAATGAGACAATATTAGGGGATGAAGAGAGTATAATAATTGAAGGGTCAACAGTGTTGGTAGGTGAAAATCAAAGATGGGTGCCAACAATGTTTTTTACATAATAATAGAAAGACAAAAAGTTGAAAAATTCAAAGGGGATTATCAAAAGTGTAAGTGACATAATAGTTAAAGAACTAACGTGACAAAAAAATCGTTTAACACTTTAGCTTCTATGAATATTATTTCTTCATATTTTTTGAAAGATAGATTGAAACATTGTATCTTTATTTTTTTGAGCTTGTTTGACAACATTGAAATTGATTGATCAAATGATTCTACTAAATTTATGATATTCTGGTTTAAATGATTGGATTTGACCGATTCTACCGAACTATGAAAAATATATATCCCTTTGTTCCAAATTTTTTTGCAAAGTCAACATTTTTGATTAACCAATAATAAAAGTCAATAATCCGTATCGATATTTAATTTAATTTTTAATAATTAAAATTTATATATACAGTAATTACATTAAAACCTCTTCATATTTGTAAATTCCAAATTAAAATTTAATTAAAATTTGACATCCTAATTTAGCACATAAAATGAAACTGTTTAATCAAGAAAAATCAAATTTGCAAATCAATTTGGGATAAAAACATTATTTAAATACTCCTACCATTTCATTAATACGGAGTATAAAAGTAATAAGTGGAAAAGTAGGGACGGCTCTTAAATGCAACTTTTGCATTTTGGCAGTGGGAGGAACGAAGGAAAGAAAAAACGACACTTGTCGTCAATGGATTAGCATTCAGGAGCGACAAGCGCCGCGTCCTTTTTTTTTTTGGGAGGGACGCCAAACTTCGGCACTGAATATGGCCACCAGAAGACAAAACAAGCGCATATACGCATTCCGGCGCATTATAGCGCCTGGCCTCAGACGTCAGAACATCATCGTGCATGTCTACCAGACTGCCCCTGTTTCATTGGTTTTCCAACTTCCTCCTTTCATATTCATACTCTCTGCCATAAACCCAAGCCGGACACTACTCTCCTCTTCATCACCAAGAAATCCGTCTCCATTTCAGCTCCAAAAGCTGATCTTTTTCTCGACAGTTTACAAAGCTGGAAGCATCTCCATCAAGTATGCATTTCTTTTGATGTATATATAATGTATATATAGAAGCTAGCAGCCAAGCAGGGAGTCGAAGTCACTACTGTTTTTGGCTATAGACTCATTTCTTTATTCAAAATTTATTTCCTTTTTCGGGTTTTTCTTTTCATTTTGGTTTTTCATCTTCCAACGGCCCTTTCTGGTTCTTTTTCTCTTGGTATTATGTTCTGAGGCACTGGAGTTTTATATTTTGTTGGTCTTAAGAGACAAGAAGTAAAGGGAATGTAATGGAAATGAGTAAATGAATGGTTTGTGAATGGCGCAGATGGACTCAAGAACTCCATCTCCCGAACGGATCTTCACCAGACCCCTGACAGGGTTCTACACTGATCAGACCAAAAAGAAGACTATGGATAATGAAGGCGGTGGTATGGGTTCTGTAAATAACAAAAGGGCGTACTCTGAGATGCTCAAGCGGAAGGCCTATAAGGTTCGGAGGATGTCAGTAGATGAAGAAGAAGATGAAGACATGGGTGGGTCAAGGAGAGCAGATGAGGTTGTGACGTTTTGTTTCCGAGTTCTGATGCCAAATGGCATGACTTTGGAGTTGAAAATACGCACTGAGCGTAATAGTGAGATGTCACTCTCTCAGTTAGTGTTGGCTGTTAAGGCAGAGTACGACTCAGCCATGAGGGGAAGATCCAGCGAGTCCATGAAGAGGCAGATTAACTGGAGCAGTCAAAACTTGTATATCTGCGACCCTCTTGACAGGAAGATTAAGGGGTTAGATTTCAGGAAGCTGAATCCTAGAAAGTCTTATTTGTTAAGGCTTCATGTGAGTTTTTGTTTCTGTGTGACTTAGTCATCGATCTTTTATGCTTACATATTTGCTCTTGGTTTTTTGTTGCTCAGTTTGATATTTTCATTTTTGTGTAGGATGGATCAGATGAAGCAGAGACGTTTGAGGTTTGTGGTTATTTTGGCCCCTACCCCATTTGTATACTCCGCCCATTCTTTTTTTTTTGAACTATTCATATACTCTACTTAATTTCATCATATTTTTACAAAATGTGGGAAACAACATTAGGTTCTCATAATCAATTCGTGGTTCAGCAAGAACTCATTATGGTTTTGTTACTAATTTATTACCAACTGGTTAGATATTGAAACCGTGGAAGTCATAATGATGTAACTAAAAAGTAACATAAGTTATTACATAATATTTCATGAAGTGAATCTTGGCTCTAACTGATTACTGATCTGGCATTGTTGAATAAACAATCATATTCTTTCATTCTTTTTTGGTTTTCTAAGAAACTTTTTCTTGGTTTGCTGTTGTAGAATATGTGGGATCTCACTCCAGATACTGACTTATTAAAGGAGTTGCCTGAAGAGTACTCCTTTGAGTCCGCCCTTGCTGACTTAATAGTAAGCCCCCATTCTGCATTTCTTTTCAATGTGGAACAAATCATACAATGATTTTGTAGTAACTCAATTAATGTACTTAAAAGGACAATTCATTGCAAGCTGTGTGGTCTAATCAAGAAAAAGAAAGGAGGTTAATCAGGTACACTGTTCTGAAGTTGATTACCTTGTTTAATTTCGAGTGAACAATCAATCTGTTGGTGGACTTGTGGTATGTTTGATCTTCTATAATACTTTTTCACAATATGTTAATTTGAAAATGGTTTAATCGGATATCATCAACATAACCCTAATCCCAACTACATTGGATCAGTGACATTAGTGGATAAATTGTGTGGTTGAGGTTGGTGTAGAAGAGAGAGAATTAACTGGAACCACAAATTCCTTACTTATAAAGGAAAGTGGCAAAGTTAGTAGAAAACCAAAAAAGGAAAGTTGGCAAAGTTTTAAGGGACGGAGGGAGTATAATTTATTGATAAAATTAAGAAATATAGCTAAAATAGGCCTCTACGTAACTTCAGCCAATTATGTCAGAGAAGTAATTCAAAACTTGCTTATTTTGATTATTACACAATCCAACTCTCGATTTAGGGCGCTACTTCTTTTAGTAGGGCGCTACTTCTTTTAGTGTGAAGTCCATGCCCAACCTCTAGATTTAGTTAATGTTGTAACTATATCACACTGCTACATTTTTATTTTCACTCCTTTGGTTCTTTTTGACCAGCTAGATTGAATGATTTTCTTTGGTTAGATATATACTACGTAATTGACACACTGTCCACTTCATTTCCAGCATTAAGTTGTGCAGGAACAAGATATTAATATATGACACAGGCCCTGGAATGGATGGAAGTGCTGAAAACTCAATAGCGAAATGGTATGGATTATTTGCTCGGTTGATTTTACTTGGATGTATATTTTTCTGAATTTGTGTCATTTAAGGTGGTTGATGAACTTATCTGGTTAGCAGTTAGCATCCAACGAATTCTGCAGCCTCAAGTCAATCTAGTTAGTTGTATTTGTCATATACTGGTTACCTGTTCCTCAAAACTTCTCAGTTCTCACTCAGTTGCATAGTGCCTTAGGGCCGCTTTAGATGGTGGGGTTTGGAGGAAAAGGTTTGGATGAGTTTATTTTTTCCACTGTACTTATAATAAAGGAAGCATTTTAGTTGAATGCTCTTTATGATCGATTAGAGCTGATATAAAAAGATAAAAGTAATTTCTGTTTAATGATATACGACTATACGAGTATGTTTTACTTGATAAGCTAAATCTGTTAAGATCCGGGGTTCCATCCTAAAAGGTCAACCTTATAGGAGGAATAGTCCATGTCTTAATATAGCACTTCGTTGATTCAAATATTTCCGGTGTGGGACTCTAACACCCCTCCTCACGACCAGACACTTCGTCTGGATCGTGCCGTCATTGATTTTTTTTCGTTGGTTCGTCGTTGTCATTTTTTTTATAATCGTGCCATCATTTTTCATAAGGGGCCCCACACCATGGATCGATTTGGCTCTGATACCATGTTAAGACCCGGGATTCCTTGAATCAACGAAGTGCTATATTAAGACATGGACTATTCCTCCTATAAGGTTGACCTTTTAGGATGGAACCCCGGATCTTAACAAAATCTTCTTTATTTCCTCTAGGTTAACTCTTTAGTAATTCTATATTCTCAAACTGTTGATGTTTTGAAGTCCTTCTGGTGTGGAAATTTCTAGAATTCTTACCATGATTGAGAAACGGTATGTGGCATAAAGATAAACAGATGTAAAGTGGAGGGATAAGAAAGTTTCACATGGAATACAATAACAAATTGGTACCAGTATGATACATCATTTAGATTTATATGATGGCATAATTATAATTGGCCTTATGCAGGCTAGTTCATGACACTAAAAGTTTTCTTATTCTTTATGAGTGATGCATTTTAGGTGCTAGGAAATGTATGGGTTGCAGAAAGGGATGCATTTCATCTATATACTCTCCTTGAGCTGTAAGGGAATATGTAAATCTTGATTAGGATTTCTAGAACTAGGCCAAAAGTCCAATTAAAAAGTGAATTGGATTATGCAATGATGAATACACAATTAGTTTATAACTGTTTTGAAACATAGCGATGTTATTAACATACACACTATGTTGTAATTACTTTCTCTAACTTTCATCTGTTAGCTTCCACATGGGTTGTGGATAATGGTCCCACTATACCCTTAACACCGTGTATTAATTTTTAAAATTTACACAGGTTGTATAGAAAACAGTTGTAAATGTTAATTCCCTTCCATTTTGTATCCTAAAAGCTTTATAGTTGCATAATAAATTTGATGGCTCTTCAGTATTGTAGTTCACTTGGATTATTCATTTTCTTTCACTTTATAGGGGAAAGATGGGGGCGTCCCTACATCGATCGTCGAAAGAAAAAGCCATAGGAGGCAAACCTCCTTACCTAATGGTAATTGATTTTATACAACAGTAGCACCTCATCACATTATCATTTTTTTATTACTGCAAATTTTAAAAGAATTTCCAAAAGCAGTATGGTTTCTTAAATCTTTCTGTCCTGATGGTGTTTGGTTAGAAAGTCAACACGAGTGCAAACACCTCTTCATTATCAGTAACATTTGTGGAAGGATTTTTTTTACAGTGATATGTTTCACTTCTTAAAACTACCTTTTCAGAAGCTGTCTTCAAGATAAACATTTTCATATTTGTATGTAGTGTTACTTGACTCTCTTTTTTGCTCATGATGTAACTACATGATTTTGTTTTAATTAACTAAAATTGTACAAGCACCTAATTCACTTAAGATGTCGGTGAAATCACTGAAATTTCAACATTTTGTTCAAAGTTGACATGATTTGGGATTACTCCTCAATTGTTTGTACTGTTTCTCAAAGGCGATGTGAATGAATATTTTTATAAACCAGCTACCCTGTATTATCGTATTCCAGTTTCATATGCACTACACATTAATCTGTGTCAGTTTACTGCTATTACCTCAAATACACTCTTTGCAATTGCAGCCCTATTTTGGTATGTTTGGATATGGGGGGCCTATTGCATCCATGCACTTGGGAAGGTATAATTTGTCGAAAAGTTTTCGATATTTTCTTCATCAATATAAGAAAATAACACATTTGTATGCTGTGGTGTTGCAGACGAGCTATTGTTTCCTCAAAGACAAAAGAGTCTAAGAAAGTGTATGTATTGCATCTAGAAAGAGATGATTTACTCAATTGCTCCTCTTCTGAGAAGACTTGGAAGGTGTGGAAACTTCTCTCTCCACTGCCCTCCCAAACAGTCCACAGTTGTCTTATGCTCCATGGCTATCATCTTGTCATTGCAGACTAATGGTGGCCTGAGACGCCCTTCAGATTATGAAGTTCAAGAATCACCACACGGAAGCTTCACAAAAGTAATAGTTTCCATATTATATTCAGTTTAAACGTTACATGCTTCATGTGATCTTTTATTTCAGAAGTAAATTATCTTCTTGAAATCACTCTATAAGCCTTAACATGGTTGGGGATAAAGCAGTGATGAACAATAATTTGAAACAAGGAGGGTTTTTTTCTATGAAATTATCCCTTAATTGCACTCACTAATCAGTATCACCTCATACACCATTTCAGTTACACCTTACACCACTACTTTTTCTCAATCAATTTTTATTTCAGATTTTCTACACCTCACTCCCATTTAGTTCCTTTTACTTTTTCCGAAAACCATCCCCATTTTATACAAGGTTTGGGGGCTAAGTGCTTGGTATTTCCATTATGATGGTATTTCCCTATCTTCTAGTATTTTTGTTAACCATAAAGGTTTTCTAGAGTTCTGTTAGCTAGCTTTTTAGGTAATATACTCCACTGTAGAACTTATAGAGGCAAGAAGCTTATTGAAAATTCTAGGATATGCATATATGAAGTAGGCGCTTAGGTGGCATTTGATTTACAAATAGGGACATATTTCTAATACATAAATGTTCAAATCTCAAGTACCACTCCTATGTAGTTAAAAGCCTTCACTCTTTTAAAGCACTATTCAAGCTTTGAAGTTATTGTTTACATTGGCAGATTGAGATTTTGGAGCCAAAAATGAGGTGCCAAGACACAAAGACACTACAAGGGAAATTAAAAGACATTTACTTTCCTTATATTCAGGTATAGAATCAGATATATCTGATTCTTCTTATGAATTCCAGTTGTGTAAAATGAAATTTGAAAAAGAAAAGGGTATAAAGTACATATTGTTCATTCATAAAGTAGATTCCATATTGACAGCTCTTCTTTTCCTTTTTCTAAATCCATTTTAATCCTTAAACTTGTGCTCATATGCTTTCTTATTTAGGAAAGGGGTTGATGAGATTGTGTATTTATGTTATACCACTAGGCGGGAACTGGAGTATAATAATCTACATTAGAATGAAGATGGCATAACTCAATCATAAAAGTGCAACATATTGCGATAAGGCAACAGTTTCTATTAAATGATTTGATTTGATTCTTGCTCTTTTTAGTTCGTGAACTCTGATGCTCATACAAATTCTCTTTTGACACCCCATCTCATCTACTGATCTTTTCTTTCTTGCAGTGCGACGAAATATCTGAAACAGGAAGAACCACAATGCCAACTGAATTTCAGGTTTGATTCCTTTTTCACTGCACAATCTTTATGTCTATAATTTGGACGTCCCTTATATGGGTTACCTTTTCTTGAGCAATCCGTTCATTCAATTTATCAATGAGGTAGTTTCAAGTCATGCACTTCTTGATATTTGTGCTACTTTTGGTTATTTAGCTCCTAATTATTTATTCTCTTCTTGAGGTATTCTGTTATCCATTAGTTTTATGGAAATACTCTTCCTCATTTCCTGAACTTTAAATGTCCATTAATTGTCTGAAGCTCATGCAAAAAAGAACACTAGAATAGTTTTAAGCTGACTGTATTCCATGCTACAACTTTCTGAAGGATGAATGCTGAGATGCAATTCCGAAATTGTCATCATAGTACTTCATACAGAAAAGTATACATTCAAGGTATAATATATTAATGTAGATGAGGGCTTTATCGTACATGGTTGTTACTTTTGGTTGATCACAGGTCAATGAAACTAACTTAGCAGAAATAATGGGTGGAGAAGTGGCGATTACGAACATGTTCTCTTGCAATGGTCCGGACTTTACATTGGAACTGCATTTCACTTCAGACACCAGTACAGAAAGAGGTTTGGATAATGTTCTTATTGATTTATTATGAAGTGTTGACAGGCTGTTATATGCTTGATGAATAGAGGCTTATAAGTTTATAATGTGAAACTTGGAATCTTTAGGAGTAGGACATCACCAAGCAAATGCTCGCCTAAAGTGTGTTTATTTTCCAGTAACTCAGGTAATCTTGTATTTGCTGTCCTCCGTCATGTATGTCGATTGGAAAATTGGAAATGCTTTTGTACTGAAAAAATTCCAAGTTTGCATTCATATCTCTGCTCTGCTACTCTGTAGGGTAAAGAAAACATTGAAAGCATAATCGAAATGTTAAAACAAGAAGGATATGAGATTACAGAGAACTTTGACAGTTTTAGCCGTGTTTCTGTTCGAAGACTGGGTCGCCTACTTCCAGATGCTCGCTGGGTTAGCCAATTTGAACATTTCTTGCATTTCATAGTCTAGATTGTAGAATGGTTTATGTGGGGCTAATTATCCACCTTATATTAAAATCAATAATTTTAAGGGGGGTGTATATATGTGATATGTCTATTTGTACATGTGAAGATATGTATAGCATGTAACTTTGAAAGATAAACCGACACATACTTTGTCTTGAGTTTCAGCCACGGCTTCCATTCATGGAACCCCCCAAACAAAGAAGAGTAGAGTCACTTAAAAGATGCTGGTTTAGAGTAAAATGCTTTGTTGGTAAAGTCATTGTTCATATGATATTTTCTTCCTGGAAGGAAACTTTATCATAAGATATTTTCTTCCTAAGAGGATGTTTTAAATGCAGATACAGATGCTGGTTTCAACCCCACACCAGCAAAGGTATGAATTGTGCTCAACTTCAAATTTGTCATTCAGTTGCCTTGGTCACTTTTGTTTTCCCTTTATTTTGGAGATAAATGCTTTTTTTCTCCAAGAAGTTCAGTTGCACATGCTTGCTAGCCCCATTGATTTGGGATTAACGCTTGGTTTGTTATAGATGTTAAGCCCTTCCACGCTGGCCAATTATAAATATATAAACCATTAGACTACCCCTCATATATAAAACCTCAAGTCTTAATATGGCATGAGAACCAATCAAGCTCTGATAGAGAACTCCAGAATTCACAACAATTTCAGTAAAGATTATCAAGAAACTGTAAAAAAACTTTATTGATGAAGGTATCGATTACAGAAAGAGAACAGAAAGGCCGAAGCCACCCAAAGCCGAAGCCCCAAAAGATCGAGATGTTCAGTCTCGTATCCTTCCCAGTCCCAAGACCAAATGTCTAAAAGCCTCCCAACTCCTCCCTGCTATCTTCTATTTATACTAACTAATACACTTGTTATTATTACTACTCTAATAGGCCCGGTCCCTTATTATTATTATTATTATTATTATTATTATTATTATTATTATTATTATTATTATTATTATTATTATTATTATTATTATTATTATTATTATTATTATTATTATTATTATTATTATTATTATTATTATTATTATTATTATTATTATTATTATTATTATTATTATTATTATTATTATTATTATTATTATTATTATTAGTCTATTAGGCCCGGGTTCCTATCAATACTTCCCCCCAAAACATCCACCTTGTCCTCAAGGTGGGTAATAGGAGAAAGCCACAATCTTCTGCTTCTTCCTCTTCTTCCTTGCTCCTCTCCCTTCCCAATACATGACTGTAGGTTTGTCAAGGAGTTTCCATGCGTGAATATTCATCCACACTTCTAGCAGAAACAGCACTAGATCCTCTCTCTTCAAAGCATCCATACTATTCAGGTGGTTCTGTTCCTGCTGGTACTGATCTTCATTCATCACCTTCTGCTCAATCTTCCATTTGCTAGTAGCTCTTGCTTCAGCACATAAATCAAGTCCTTGAGTTTCAGTTGCTTCACTCCATGCAATTAGAGCATCTGCTGCTGTTCCTACTATGGATATACAACTGCCAGAGGGAAATTCTGCAATCTCTTCTTTGCCTTTTAGGCAGCATGACTGACAACCACCCTCATTCTTAGCCAAACATTTGGAAGAGTCTTTTAGCCAGATGTCTCCCTTAAGAATATTCCACCAAATTATCTTTGCCACTGCATATTCCTCCAAAGGAAAGTCCATTTTTACTCGATTTGTTGAAACAGAAAGTCGAAAAACCCAAACTATCTTCAATTTTGCATAATCCTTGCTAGTGTGAAGCAGCACAGAAACCAAGCAACACCTTGCGGATGAGAATACGAAATCAGTTCTTTCACCAAGTGCATCAGCCACACTTCCTTGGTTCCATCCTTGCCTGTCAGATGAAGGAAGTTCATTTTCTCTAAAAGAGTTCCACTCTTTGCTAACGTTATTCAAACTGGAAGGGTTATGACAAGTGAGGGGACGAATAATTGGCTCAGCTTCAAGTCCCAGATTAATTGAAGATTCCTCATTGCTTTCCTCTTCGCTATCGGTGGTTGTATCTTCCCTGTACGTTTGCTCTTGGTTAACCAACTCCCTCTGCGACTCTGGTGACTTAGATAGTAATTGCGAACTGGAGTCTTCTGCTCGTGTAAAAACCATAGTTCTGTAAGAATCTGCCTGCGAACTCAAAGGTGCGACTTGATACGAACCGCTGGAAACCTTTCGCGACCGCAAGTTACAAGAAACAGTTCGAGACTCCCCTTGCGATCTTGGGAACGGTGGTGACGATCTTACCTTGTCAGTACTCGATGAGCGACGCGAAGGTTTATGTGACGGATTCTGAGAAGAAGTTCGCGATTTTGAACTATGAGAGGAAGTTCGCGATTTCGTCTGCGACTCCTCCTGCGATCGCAGATGATGAGAAGTGCGATGCGACCTATGGGAAGAGTGCGAAGTGTGAAGCGATGCGGATGAGTCATGCCATCTACTACTCGATCGACCTTTATTCTGGTTCTTAATCTCCTCGAAGCCAGCCTTCATCTTCGCTCTTAATTCCTCAAACTTCGCATTTGATTCCTTCTGATATTTGTCAAATTTTCGCTCGATTTCAGTCATTTGCTCCTCCAGTTTTCTTCCTATCTGCGTTATGCGACCTTCCATCTTCGTTCGAGTCTGTTTTGTCCAGTGATCATCTCTCTCTGATACCAATGATAGAGAACTCCAGAATTCACAACAATTTCAGTAAAGATTATCAAGAAACTGTAAAAAAACTTTATTGATGAAGGTATCGATTACAGAAAGAGAACAGAAAGGCCGAAGCCACCCAAAGCCGAAGCCCCAAAAGATAGAGATGTTCAGTCTAGTATCCTTCCCAGTCCCAAGACCAAATGTCTAAAAGCCTCCCAACTCCTCCCTGCTATCTTCTATTTATACTAACTAATACACTTGTTATTATTACTATTCTAATAGGCCCAGTCCCTTATTATTATTATTATTATTATTATTATTATTATTATTATTATTATTATTATTATTATTATTATTATTATTATTATTATTATTATTATTATTATTATTATTATTATTATTATTATTATTATTATTATTATTATTATTATTATTATTATTATTATTATTATTATTATTATTATTATTATTATTATTATTATTATTATTATTATTATTATTATTATTATTATTATTATTAGTCTATTAGGCCCGGGTTCCTATCAAGCTCTAATGAGCAATAAATCCATCCCACACTAACCAATTATAATCTATAATGACTACTCTTTTTTTTGAAAGGGCATTTGACTACTCTTCCTAAACCTTTTAGAAGGAAGCCAAGTCAATAAATTTTAGTGCTAATTGCCTAGAACGATTAAACCTGTTTAGTTTAGTTAGATTACTTCCATATTAGTCCAGCCGACCCATCCAGTAGAGTAGTCTTTCTACCGAATGAAACTGCTCTATAAAAGACTAAATCATAATAAATTTGTGTTTATATTTGCATAGTTAATGTGCTTATGTGCACACAATTGAGAGTTACAATCAGATGCCACGAAATAAAACATGCGGGGGCATATAAAACAACATCACTACTATTATTACCATTTTTATATTTTTACTGCCACAGTGCCACCACTCTTGCTACTAGTCTACTACTATACTACTAGTATTATAAATGCCGTTTTATTTATATACTTCGATCTTCTGCGCACATGACCAAACCATATGTTTATTATAGCCAACTCATATGTCAAGGCAAAAATCAGAATGTTCTTCCCTGTTTCATTTGTCATATGTCGAGGCAAAATCCAGAATGGTCACAATGTTTATGCTGAATATAATTACAACAACATCCAAGTTTTATTCCCAAAAGAGTGTTTATGCTGAATACTTTAAGAAGATGATACAAATAGGAGTAAATAAGTTATGTGCACATATCGTTGTGATCTTGTTTTATCATAAAAAAATAGACCGCATTTAGCCTTAATAAAAAGAAGAAAAGTAGTTAGAACTTCTCTCATAAGCGAATGAGTCCCATTTTCGGGGAAAAAACAGTGTTGACTCTTATCTGAGGAAATGTGTTATGTTTTAGTTTTATTTACCTAGTTTTCTCTAATACTTTTGCATATTAATGGCACTTCTCATTTTGGACTTTGTATTGCTCCAATAATATAAATTCCATTAATGTGACCAGATGTTATGTTACATTTCCTTTTCCCATTCGTGCGTTTTGACTTTCATTACACAGACAAATTTAGCACAATGCAATCCTTTTACCGTTGCACTTAAGAACATTGGCAACAAAACGTGTGATAAAGGTAATGAGTTTTAGTCCAACAATTGTTCATTTTTTTTAAATATCAGAAAAACTGTTATTCACTGAATATATATTTTTCTGTAGATATACATGTTGAAATCTGCAAGGATGGAAAAGCATTGTCCTTTTCTCAACTAGAAAAGCAATACCACGACTGGATTTCGAATATGCATGATACATATGATTGTGAAGTTGAATCAGGCGACGACCAGCCTATCATTGTATTCAGCTCTGAAAACAAAAAAGAGCTAGGCACATCATCTGATGGTAAGCTACTTGAGTACATATTTTATCAAATTTGTTAATGTAACTATTTGATATAGATATTTTTATTTTAAAAATGTCTTCTCCGTATTTAACATTCTTTGAAGTGTATACTAATGTTGCTCTGTTCCTATGGTTCACAATCTTCTTTAGTTCTGAGGGTTCATGAAGTTATCCAAAGGAAGGGAATCACCTGGAGATCAGGACAGAAAATTAAAGTTTTGAAGGGAGCATGCGCAGGCTTTCATAAAAAAAACATTTTTGCCACATTAGAATTTGTTATCCTTGAAGGATGTGAAGGGGATGGTGGTATGTTTCCAACTTAGTAGCTAATATATGTGTGTAGAACTCTACAAATACATTAGGAGCTGATATTTGTCATTAATTAACGTTCAACTACATGTATCTGCAGGTAATTTTCTCATCTCTTATCTTCCCTTTCATTTATTAAACTAATTAACAAGTTTTTTTTTTTTTTTTAATTTTATGTAGGTGATGCTAGGATTATCTGCAGGTAATTTTCTCCTTGAAGTTTCAAAATTTTCCTCTCTGATGGTTCTTTTGATACAATTTTAGTGTTCCACATATAGGCCGCTGGAAGTCCCCCCTGAGGATGGTTGCCACCTTTCTTTGGATAAAGGAAGTCATCACCTGGATCTACGTAGATCTAAAACTTTACCATTCAGTGTCATTGATTCTCAGAAGGTTGTTTTTCTTCATCTTGAGAAGATTGGTTGGTGTTTCAGTGTCAAGGAAAGTTATTAATTAATCACGTGTCCCTTAATGCAGTGCCTACAAGTTGATGATGCTGAGTGGGAATGCCAGCTGAAAAAACACCAACAAGAGAAAACCCCATCCTCAATTGAATTGCTAAATCCCAAAGATGTCCCAGAATTTAATCTTTATGAGGTGTTTACAAGTGCATTTTGTTAATTATTAGTTAGTGAGCATTAAGATTTTTAGATTTTATGACTATTCCGCCCCCCCTTTTGAACTGTTAACATTGCTTTTGCACTAATACCAGCTCAATTGTGGCCTCATCACAGGCACTGCCCGATGATGTAGTTGATGCTGGGCTTGATCCTCCTAAAGAAATTCTTGCCATTGTTTGTCCAGCTTCTTTCAATTCTGTAGTGGCTTCTAAGAAATTAGACCAAAAGTACATCCTAAAAGAAAATTTTGAGATGAGTCTGAACATTAAACATTCTGCTTCAGACAAAAATGACCAAAGCGACAGTCATATGTACTCATGTCGTATTATACCATCATCATACAATGGGGTAAGTGGGATTTATGTGTTCCCGTTGAGACAGAAGTTGCCAGAGCTATTTCACAAAGCCGGAGTGTATTCCTTTCTGTTTTCTATTGTTGTAAGTAATATTTACAAGTGCTTATAACTACATTCCTGCTAAGCTGTATAACTCTTTTGTAATAGTTAATCTCACTACCATGTTAAAATTTTCTATAGAACCAACCTACTTGTGCAACTTATGAAAAAAATGTACATGTGCGAGCTTTATCTGAGACAGGAAGTTGGAGACTTTCAAGTAAATGCAGTGGGATATATAAAATAAGGTAAGACCCTTGCTGCTTCATACATATCTCTTTGATTCCAATTAGATTGTGCCTAATTGGAATCATAAAGATATGTTGTGCCTGTGAAGTTCTTATATTACTTTTGTAATAGGTTTGTACTTTGGTCAATGTTGTGATTTAATATAAAAACCATATGCTTTTGTTTCTAGCTTGGAGACTTCTACTTTATCTGTTACCTTGTTAGAAATACAAACTTGTTTCTTTTTCCTTGAGACAAATTACTAATAGCCGGTGTGGTATATATAATTATTATTATCCTGCACAGGGTTGGTCAGCCTCTTCCATCTATCAGCATTTCCTGTTATGATAGATACATGAACTGCATTCAGTTCAAGCCTGTTTCTGACTTTGAGATTAAGCTTCATTCTGAAAGGGGCGAACTTTCTCATGACTCTGTTATACATCCATATTTGTCAAAAGATAGATTGTCTTTAATTATTAAGGTATGCTTGATATGGACTATTTGTTTAATACACTTACAAGTACTCTCAGTTTCCTATATAAATAGATCATTGTTGAATATCAAATTTTGTAGCGCCGGGTGCTTGAAATCAGTGAACTCGACAAGATTCGTCCCAACTATGAAATTACCTTGTCTATAGGTGCGAAGGATGAACCATTTTCTGTACCCATTAAAATTCAAGGTATAGTCATGATATAACTTAAGTGACATTCTTTCAATCATTACACCTTGTTACTGATTCATTTTGAATGCAAAATTTGCCCATTGTGTCGCTTCTTGGGACAAATTCTTAATGTCATTTTCTATACTTAGTTTTGCCTGGTCCACCACACCATGTCAGCTTATATCCATTAAAATCCAGAGAGAAGTTGTTTCCTGGACTTCTAATCGCGGACCTTAAATTAGAGGTGAGTAATACAATATTTCCATTTCTGTTAATTGTGATACATATTATAAATATAAACCTTGTCACCGAGTGCAACTAGATTTAGAATAGGGCTTACTTTAGTTGAGTTGTTAATAACGCTCAGTGCCATATACTAGCCATATTGCTCCCATAAAAGCTAAAGGTGTTCTAGGAATATCCATCTTTGTTTGTTTTCCGTTCTTTAAGTGAAGTATGTCATAGTGATCAAGGCTGATAAGTTATTAGCCCGAAATGACAAGTAGGGATTAACAAGGAGCCAATTGCCTTTGAGTTTGAGCTTTCAACTAAAATGTTTATTCAAACACTACGGCTTTCACCATAGTGAGAGTTGGAAACAAATATAATAGGGTAATACCGGGGGTAACAGATTCACATCTATAAACATGAACCAATCTGAAGGAAAGAACAGAACAAAATAACAAGTACAATAAACAATAAAAAATAACAAGGAGAGGTCTTGATTTTGTAAAAACAGCTTACATAACTAGTAAAATAGGATCTACATTGTTTTGGGAACAGTAGCATTTTTCACCTATTGATTTCTAATGCAAAGCACAGGCGGTGAAAAAGAGTTTCATATAATGTTGAGAAAATGAAGTTTCAAATGTATATCTTTATAATTTTTAGGTTTGTAACAACATCTTGAAGATGGCCACTTTAAAGAGCTATGGTGTGTTATATATTCTACAATACTTTTTGTAAATTGCAACTGATTCTAAAATGCTTTTTTACCTATAGCTGTTTGATGAATATGATAATCATATCCAAAAAGATGAGGAAATTGAACTGCAGATGGATGGATTCTGTGTTCACAATCAAAGGTGCCTTCCGTGGAAGGTATTTGCTTTCTTCATAATTGGAATTTTCTACTCGTATATAGTGTATTCCTCCCTCAAATAAGACTTTTTAAAAATATTGGTTGGGCCTTTTCTTTTCAAAGCTCTTGCTCTATGTTTGATTTAGTTGGAACCAAGCGCCACACATGATAAATGTACACAAGCAAACAACTCTTATCAAATCCTCTTACTTTCCATCTTGTACGTTGTCATTTGCACTATAGTTGTTGATTGTGAATGGCACGAAATCAAGTTTACTCATTCTCCAGGCCACACTTGATTAAAAATTTCTAATCAGTACTTGTCCTCAACATAGGTTGATGAAAATGGGTTTATAAACCTTGGTGGCATATTGAAAGTTACAGCAGGATATGGTAAAACAGGTGTGTATTAAATACTACTAGTACGTTCTTTGGTTAGTGTGTAGAACTTTTTCAGGATTTGAAAGATAAGCTAATTATTTAGAAAAATTGTAAAGCTACCCCATTTTATACCCCATTTTGTACACCCTCCCTAGTTTTGTGGTTAAGAAAAGCAATGAATTTAAGTGGGGCAATTGTTTTGTGGGGTTGGGGTTTTGTGAGCCACTCATATAGTGAGGTACAAATGGGGTACCTCATTTTGGGGTACATCTAGCATTCCTCGTGAGATGAAAATTGTCAATATAAAATCCGAATTATTGAAAACTATGAATTTAAAACTCATCAAATAATGAATTTTAATTTTTTAGAATAGAAATATTACCTAATATATGACCAAAATAAGTAGGCTAAAGGGTCAAATAGGCCCTCGAACTAATTTAAAAAGTGCATATTACCCCTTATATAGGAGGCTCTGTTCCGCCGTCGCCAATTGGGGCGGTTCTCGCCAAATGATTTTCTAAAATGTACTAAGCTGTTTAACTGCGCAGTTATCTTCAAAAATTAATTTGACTGCCCTCCCGATTGAATTTATAGCTGAAATTTGGTATGAGTAAACTAAACTTAATGAAGAATATGCTCAAAAAAATTCATCAAAAAATTCAACCGGGAACCGCCCCAAATGGCAACGACCGGACATAACTTTATATATATAAAAGGTGATTTGCACTTTTTTTTTAAGTTAGTTGAAGTAGACCCTTCCAAAATGTATAAACAAGGGAAATGTGCCTTGTTAACTTTTAATTATCATGATTATATTCAATTTTTAGTTAGTGGCCATAGGAATTTATTCATAAAAATTTTAGTCGCATTTTTGTCCTTAATTTTTTTTAAAATAATATATTAGGAAAACTAGATGTAATCAATTTCTTGTTTCCTAAATTCAGCTGATAAGCCATCTGTATTTCAAACTAACCCAATATTGCCTACAGCTTCCCTTTCGGTTTCCTATGAAGGCAAAACACTTTTCAAGCAAGAATTTCAAATTGAGAAGAGAGAGCTGCATGTAGCATCAGAGGTTTAAGAATTCTTGATCGATTTCATTTTGAAATTACTTTTTTCAAGTTTGAAAATACAAGGCGCTTTAGTTGGCCGAAATTAGCACTATTTTTATTTATTTATGCCAGATACCTGAATTTTGTACTCCTGGTTCTCAATTGGAGAATATCATCTTTGAGGTCACAAATTCTGAAGGTGAAGTTGATGAAACTATCCACGATGATGACAAAAATGGTCAATCCCATACTCTTATTATTAAATCTGAGCTGTCAAAGATCGACGAGACTGTTAGATACAGCTTCCGCCATGGTCGCTGCACGGTCCGTAGCATCTCTCTCCCAGAGTTTGAAGGAAGGTTCCAATTCATAGCTCTTCATTCTCGTCACAGGGAACTGCAGTTGAGCATAGAGGTTGAATTTTCCCTCATACATTTCCTTTTTATAATTTTGTAATGGACGTGAGATTAAGTATTAACCATATAATTTCATCCACAGGTGAATATAAAAAAAACTGTGAAATTGCATTATGGGAATTTGCAATCTCAAAGTCCAGATAAATTGGTATTTGAAAACGTGGAAGTTGAAAATTTCCAAAGTCCAAAGAAATCGATATTTAAAGGAGTGAAGGTCGAACATTTCCAATATCAAAATCTGCAGAAGCAGACCTATCTTCATCAGGAACCATCCCCAAAGCAAGTTCCAATGCTGCTGGATCATGAAGAAGTTTTCCATCAACGTTCAGACATTAACGTTCAAGACTTTGCTGCTACTGAAGGTCCAGAAAATGAAGAGGATTCCATAAATATTCGCCAGATGGTGAGCTGTTAAATTAAACTTACAAGCATCTATACCATACTACTAGTCTACTACGGGCAGCAAAAATCTGAATTAGACCATCCAATGTTGCTGATAGTAGTAGTCCTTCATCTATGTATGAAGAACTGGTTCATTACTTTCCTTATTTCTGAGAGCATTTATGACAGATTTCCAACAACGTTTTATACTGTAGTACTTCATACCCTTTGATGGTTCAGCTGTTTTTACTTTTATTACTTCATCTAATATATATGAAACATTTCTTTCCAGCTTGAGGATGAAATTTGCAAGTACGCTCAACTCTGTGGACAGTGTGAAACAGAACTGCAAATTCTTGAATCCAAGCAATCAAACATTAAACTAGATATTTCCAATTTGGAAGGTCAGATATTTGTTACATGCACCATCTTCATTAAGTGAGCTACTAATTACAAATTCCTATGTACCGTGCTCTTGCTTGAATTGTCTCTAATAAAAGAGTAGTCTTGAGCCTAAAACACATCTCTCGAATTAAATTTTGCAACTTTGTTAAGTAGGAGATGCTAATTAGACTCTTCTGATCAAGTTTCCCCTTCTGATCAAAGTGGTTTCAGAGCAGAACAGAAACCTCCAGCTTGTGACCTCTAATTTACCAATTCGTTGAGTCTATCAATTGTCTTTTTGAGATTTTACTATTGGTCCTGTATCATTAAACATGGTTCTTGGCGCATAATCATACTGCAGAATCTCTGGGACTTCATTCGTCTCTGAACTCTTGCTGCACTCAGGATTTAATTAAGGAGCAAATTTACGGTATGAATGGCTCAGCAGCTTCCATTGCCTGCAAATTGATTGAAGCATCATCACCGGAAGCGCAATGTCATGAATTTTCCAAAGACATACTTGGCGTGGTTGCACTGCTTGGGTTTGCTGAAACCAATGAGCTTAGCAGGTTCGTGCATGGTTCCTTTTCATCTTCACTTTTTCCAACCTTGCAATTCATTTCACTATGATAATTAGTGAATATATTCTTGCTTTAGGATGTTAGCAGAATATATTGGTGAAAAACAAATGCTGGCAGTGGTTTGCAACGACCATGCCACTGTTGGTGCCTCAAAGATGTACAGGAAGAACCGTGGACACGTGAATAGTGCAGACTCTTTGTATGCATTGGCCAAGAATCTTGGAATCTCCATTAATGCAGGATATGATGTCATATGCCTCAACGATATAAGGTGAACCATATCGTCTGTTCTTCTGCAATGAATAGTTTCTAACGTGATCTTAATTACAACTTTCACGACTAACTTTGTCCCAAATTTGTCTGTCACTTCCGGTTTATAAGGTTTGACAGAAGATAGTGTTACCTGAGTAGCATTCATATTAGGCCGGCCTAATGGCTATCAAGCCAACTCCATTTTGACCAAAAATAAGGTTTATGATGCAATTTTTTAATTCATAGTATCAACTACTCCGTATTAGTTTTAACCATTAGATCTTAATTTTGTTTGAAAGTGAACCTTTCTACGTCATTTGTTCACCTCTAACCATTTATCTAACGGTTAATAATAATCTATCATAAAAATCATATTTAAGTTCGGAAAATTTTAAATTTTTTGATGATGTAGCGATTGGAACTAAGAGCTGATACTAATATAAAAAACGACCATAAACTTCATTTTCGGCTGAAAATGAGTTAGTTTGACGGGATTCTTGTCTTACCGGCCTCAATGTACACTTTCCTTGTTAGCTTTCTTTATACTACAGATTATTTATTCAGAGCAAAAGTTATTTGTAGGTGCAAAAGCAGAATTTGAATGTGATAAAAATTGATACAATCATACAAATAATTACAAAAAAGAAAAGAAAATCTTGACCGTGTGGAAAAAAGAAATAAGAATGTTTTTACTTGGACTGAAAGTCTGAACTGGTCTGGTAACGTCTTTGACTGAAAAAAGTCCAAGTAAAGACATCCTAACGTGAAGATTGGTTTCTTGTGCAGGCCTTACACGGGTGAGATAATTGCTGATCCCCAAAGAAAGCTAGCAATAGCTGATCCCACTTTGCCTAATGGAGACACACCTCCTCCAGGGTTTCTGGGCTATGCTGTCAATATGATACATATACCTGCAAATCATTTGCAATACAGGACGGCCTCCGGTCATGCTCTTCGTGAGACATTGTTTTATCGGCTCCTCGGGGATGTCCAAGTCTATACCGACAGAGATCATATGAGCATGGCTACTTCTTGCATCAACAGCAGCAGACCTGCTCTTTCTTTAGATGGACTCATTATGAGAGGAAATGGTGTCACTTCCCTTGTCTCAGGGTATGTATGTATGTCAGTAGAAGATTACCATATATACATTGAAAGGATAAATAATTATATATTTCTGACGTACTAAAAGTATTTTATTTAAAGTAACAAAAATGCAATTTTTTAACATAAAAGCTACGGAGTATAACTTTCTATTGTTTTTTCAGTATCAATACATGTTTGTTCATTGTCTTCTATATTAGGGATCCACGGATTAAGTTTCCGGTCATTCCAAGGGAGAAGCATGTTTTGACCATGAATCCCGACGTAATAGATCTGCTGGAGTCTATGAGGATGCAGCTAAAGGAGGTTGAAGCTGATTTAGAAAAGAAAAGAAGGGTTTTTGTGGAGCTCAATGCAAAGTTTTGCAGTTGCCAAACTGCATATTTGAAGTTTCTCCCAAGAGAAGCCAGCAATCAATGACATGAAGATATGTGTTTGAAGCAGTCGGTAAAATCAAAAGCAATGTGAAGTAGGGAAGTGTATATATAGATAGATAGATAGATAGCTAAGGAGGGGATTTCAAGGATGGATGGGGATCTTGAATTTTGAGATCTTATGGTTCAGTTCTAAGCTCCTCGTTGCTAAAACTAAACATGAAATGTATTTTTGAGAGGACTGGACGGTTCCCTCATTTTTGGAGGATTGGTCAGCCGGAACACCTTTTGATTATCCTAATGAAAAGGTATTTGGATGAAACAGCAATAGCATGTAGTTGCTTTATCAAAATATAAAATTTAATTGTCCACACCTCTAATAATCTGATACAAGCTAACAAGCGTACGACATATTTTAAAATAAAAGATACTTCTAAATATTTAAAATTTACACTAGAAAAATCACCAAACTAATTGATAAAAACAAATTAAGAAGCTACAAAATTCATACTAATTTCTACTCTCATAAATCCTATAATAATAGTGTTATCCCTACTCAGAGTATCACAAAAATCACCTAAACTAGCAATGATATTTATAAGAATAAATTGACACGAATTCAAATTAATGTTTCTTTAATACTCTTGCATCTTACCCCCATTGTGCCTTCCCTAGTCTTCTTGTCGGATATTCTTTCTATCTCTGTAGTTAATATGTTACTATCTCTTATTTTCTTGTCCTTTTATCTGCATACACTTTTTTGAGCTAAGCAAGTTTCCTTTCTTCCTCAAATGTTTATCATTTTCTGGTCATAAATTTTACTAAGCCTCTTAAACTTATCAAGGGATTCCAGAGGCTGCAAAATTCTGACATTTAAAATATATTCAAAATTTAATGTCATTTAAGAAGAAAATGACATATTTTTTAAAATCGAACTTGGTAAGCCACCTTAAGGAGAATTATGTGAGTAGATCGAAAAGCAAATAAAAGATAATGGACTAAAACAAATTTCATATGATCTATTTTTATGAACGCCATCATAAAAATAGATTTTGTTTTTTTAGGTAAGATGTTTTTTATGGAAAATTCTGTGTGTGTGTTTTTCTACACATTTCTCATATTTTATTTGTTTGAATATAATAACATTTATTCCAAAATTTGGATGGTACATACCATTTTTTGGCCAAATTGTTTGTGTATAGAGAAAAAGGTAAGAAATGTAATTTCCCCTTTTTACTGTCTTGACTATGTTTTCAATCCTGCTCTCTTTTCTAATTCAAAACTTTTAGCTAAAACCTGTGTATTACTCCCTCCCTATTACCATATATCCGTGTGAAGTTGACAATTTTTCTGGACTTGGTTCATATGAGTCCCGTTCCTATCAAGAGTTCCTGAAGAGCAAGCCTGTGCAGACAAGCCCATCAAAGGTTTTTCCGGTGGAATTTTTTTATGAAAATTTTTTGGCATGTTTTCCCTCAAGTCTAGTTTATTCATAGCAAAATTCAGTTCAAAATTCCATACGAAAGACAAGTCAAATAAATTGGAAAAATAATGAGCATTCTGTGCGCACGGGCCTGCCCTCTGGTTCATATCTGTGTTGACCCGAACCGGACCGGTCAGTCTGGCCCGGAACCCGGTCAACCGTCCCAGTTTACGGTCCGGTTGGACATCAAACCGCAAATGTGGTAAAAAACACATTTACCCAGCGACCCGGGTAGACCCGCGACAGACCCAACCCGTGTCAAACTCGGAAAATGGCAAAACCCGGAACACACGCGGACTGCGGGATTTGATCCTATGCCAACTGCTCTTACTTAAGCTCCAAACCGGTGAGCTACACTAGCTACTTGCAAATATGAGGTCGCTTTGCTCTCCTTATACGTTCAAAATCTGTAGCATTATAATTGCCTTAATTTGTTTGTTAATGAACTAATTTATAAAACATACAAACAAATGCTATTTTTATAATTCCTCAATCCTCATTACGTATGTCATCTTTACTTTTATTTTTTTTATAATTGATATAATGTTCATATATATCATCTACCTATACGCAAATGTATTCTAAATTGTGTTAAAATCAATATAGTTTAATGCAATAATTTTTTTTAAAGTACTCACATTGTATTATAAATATTTAATTATGAATGGATATAAGTTTTCTTTTTATAAGTTTATTTTTTTATATTATTATATGTATTCGCGTTGACTGGGTTTGCCGGTCGTTGACCGGGTTGACCTACCGGGTCCGGGTTGACCGTGACCCAGTCACGTGTCCCGGTAGCTCATCCATCCAGTTCTTACAACATACTGACATAGGTTCATATATCCTACTCATACAGTCATACTATTGGACGGACGTATTAGCTAAAGGTAATTAGTTATGGCTTCTGCGATGAGGTTGAAATTTTGCAGCGAGAAAGCTTCTGCACCTGCTTCATACATCAGAAACTACATCATCAACAATATGCAAGGTGGGCGCTTTTTTACTTTAGGACGGGATTCAAGTACGAATTCGAAGAACTACTTCACACACCCCCGCCACAGTTTCGAATTGTCCAAGCCAGTATGGGCTCGCCGAGAATTCGTTGACAGAGGGTATGATAATTCAAGAAATCTTTCTCATTTGAGGAAAATTGACAATTCTAGCTCTTATGGGGATCCACCGGAAATTTGGCAGCCTCCCGGAGATGGGATTGTTGTCCGACCGGGTGTCAAGTTTGTTCAGGCGGGCGAAGTGGAAGGTTCGGGTTCAGGCACTGGTGGGGGGTTCATGCCAGGTTCTAAAGATGGGCGTTGGGGAGGGTCCAATTTAGGCTCGAGTTTCCCAACACCCAAGGAAATTTGCAAAGGGCTCGATAAGTTTGTCATTGGCCAGGAGAAGGCTAAGAAGGTCATCATTTATTAGCTTGCGATTCTTCTATATTGCAATATACTATGCAGTGCTAATAATCAAATATTAAAATGCAACAAAAAGTTCTTTTTTTCCACAAAAAATCTGTAGATTCTTCCCCTTTCAATTATTTGGCATTTCAGTTTCCAAATTGGGGTGATTGTTTTGCAGTTTAGTAAAGATTTATTTGATTTTTTTGTTTGATTTTTTAAAATGCAGGTCCTCGCTGTTGCTGTATATAATCATTATAAGAGAATCTACAATGACTCTGCTGAGAAGTGGTTAGTTTTAAATTATCATTTATGCCAAATAGTTGTTGCTCTTTACTATGTGCATACGTTGAAAGTGCTTCAGAGTAATGCAGATTGCACATGACTAGCTGTATTCTGTGAACAAGAACTTTTCCTACTATTCAAAATCCAAGAACAAGTAAAAAGTAAAAACAAAACTTTTTTTCCTCTAATGCTTGTCATTACAATCCAATAATGCTTGTGGTAAGGTAGGGACCCTGAAAAAAATGTCAGTGACATGTCGAAGGAAAATGAAGAAGAGGTTGTAGAGCTGGAGAAGAGTAATATTCTTTTAATGGGTCCAACAGGCTCAGGTAATACTTTCCATTTCATTGTTTTTAGATTATCATTTGCTTTCTTATTTTTTAAAACTCACATTCCTGTGTTCATACTTCATTGTCATTGATAGTGTTGACATTTCTTTCTTTATCTTACTTGGGTACTTAAGTACTTTCTTCACTTGGGTAATTTTTCAAGGACAGGAAAAACTTTACTAGCCAAGACCTTGGCACGATTGGTTAATGTTCCCTTCGCGATAGCAGATGCGACTACACTTACACAGGCAAGTCCTTGTCTTGTTATCTTATTTGGCGCTGAAATCATTTACTGTTAGCTTACATTTTTCCATACATTACTAGTTTACTACCTTGGTTGTATTAGATTAAACTTATTTTTAAGTTTATTACATTGTATATTTTAATCACATTCTGCAGGCAGGGTATGTTGGGGAAGACGTAGAATCCATTCTATATAAACTTCTCACGGTAAGTAGTAGATCCCTCACCTCTAATACGTTGCAGTAAGAAATTATCTAACTTTTTTATTATTATTTTTGAATGAATGTAAAACGTGGTGTAATGTTATTTCAGGTTGCTGACTATAATGTGCAAGCTGCTCAGCAGGGAATAATATATATTGATGAAGTTGATAAAATAACAAAGAGGGTGATGTAACAAGTCTGGTCCTCGAACTGTTCTTATTGAATAATGCATGAAATTAGGCTAATTACTTTCTATGAATTGTGTTTCTACAGGCTGAGAGTCTTAACATCAGTCGAGATGTTTCAGGGGAGGGTGTCCAGCAAGCATTATTAAAAATGCTTGAAGGAACAGTAAGTGTTGCATCTATGATTCAATTAGTGGCAATGGACTCTAATTGTTATGTCAGCTCTGATTTCGGAATAGTTCAACAACCATACTTGAGTGAAGAGAGGAGCTATTTTTCCTTTCATTACAAACCCTTGAAGTTCATGAACATATCATGGCTAACCAAAGTGACTGGTTCTTCTTTGTTGTATCTGTTTTTTTCAAACTGAAGTCATCTTCCGTTGCAGATTGTAAATGTTCCTGAAAAGGGAGCTCGGAAGCACCCTCGCGGTGATAACATCCAGGTGTGTTTAGCAGACAATAATTTATTTCTTATCTGTAAATCTTTTACTTTTGAATGGAAGATATGCTATTATGCATAGCTAATAGTAGTCAGGTTAAATGGTTGAAGGATGAATAGATATAATCCATGTCCACTTTTCTGTTGTGTTAGCATAATATTAAGTCAGCATAATATCATATGCTATTATATGTTTATATTTCCTTTTGAAGGATGAATTGATTCCAGATTTCCAGTAGCATTTCACTTTTCCCTTGAACTGAATAATCCTTGTCCACTTTTCTGTTGTTCATCATGCTTTAAATAAGTCCCGATAAAGTCATGCCATTTTTTTATTTTTACAGATCGACACAAAGGACATCCTCTTTATATGTGGTGGTGCCTTTGTTGACTTAGAGAAGACAATCTCAGAAAGGTCATAAATACCGTTGCATGATATATTATTCATCATTCTTTTTTTTTCAATCTGGCTACTTATACATTTTGAAACATTACCAGACGTCAAGATTCCTCCATTGGCTTTGGGGCACCAGTACGCGCAAACATGAGGACAGGCAGTTTAACAAGTGCTTCAGTGACCTCATCTTTATTGGACTCTGTATGAGTTTGTATATTCATATTCTTTAACCGAAACATTATATTAGAGCTTACACACAGTCACACACCTTCGCGTTTGAGTTTTTCTGCTCCGTACTTTATTGGGTTTTTGAATATCGAAACCTAGGGGAAATGGTCTTTTAGGA